AAAGTGACATCATAGTCATGGCTAAAAATAAACAAAAATCCTTAATCAGCAACATTTAAAGTAATATCTAAAAATAAAATTCCTTTGTAACCATAAAAGCCCATTTAAATACATCATAAAGATATTAAAATAGAAAATGACATCATAGTCATGGCTAAACATAGCAAAAAACCCTTAATCAGCATCATTTAACAGTTATATCTAAAAATGGAAATTACATCATAAAGGTATTAAAATAGAAAATGACATCATAGTCATGGCTAAAAATAAACAAAATCCTTAATCAGCATCAGCAACATTTTATAGTAATATCTAAAAATAAAATTCCTTTGTAACCATAAAAGCCCATTTAAATACATCATAACAGATATTAAAATAGAAAATGACATCATAGTCATGGCTAAACATAGCAAAAACCTTAATCAGCATCATTTAACAGTAATATCTAAAAATAAAAATTTCTTTGCAACCATAAAAGTAAAATAGAAATTGACATCATAATCATAGCTAAAAATAAACAAAAATTTTTTTTATTGGCAAATTTTAAATGGAGTTTATTATAAAACAATAAATTTGCAACCATAAACATGATAAAACCCCATTTAAACACATCATAAAAGTATTAAATAATTCAACTACATCATAAGGCTATAAAAATAGAAAATGACTTCATAGTCAAGGCTAAAGGTAAACAAAAAACCTTCATCAGCAAAATTTTATATTGGCAAATTTCCAATGAAGTTTATTACACTAAAATTGTTGGCAAATTTCCAATGCATTTATTAACAATAAAGTTATTGGCAAATTTCCAATTTACATAATTTAAAAGCAGTGTAGATGAGATATTTAAATGAGTTTGAATTACCAACCTTACACTGCTTTTAAATAATGTTCTTTACTCAATTATTTGTCTATTAAAATGGAAACCCTTGTTTTTTAACCTTTTTTCCCCTTATTCCTTAAACATTAGAGCCATAACCACCCCCCCCCCCCCCCCCCAAAGCCAATTATTACTTTCCAATGTAACCTAAATTTCCAATATACATAATTTAAAATTTCAATTCCTCATGATATATAACCGTATCATTATTATTTTCTTTCATATATAAATCTGAAACAACCATCTTTAAATGGAAAATTTTAAAGAAAAAAAAAGGAAAAAAAAAAATCCTACCCCCCACACATTTTTTCAACCCCCTTTTGATTCATCATCCCCCACCTCAATCACAACCTTCAATTTGTGGTATGGTACATTGCAATACAATTTCACAGAGATCCATACACTTGAACCAAGGCTTCCAAAACGGTCATATATTCCGGACATTTGTATAATGTCCGGTAAAAGTCCGGCTGGGCAAAGCATGAAACGGACATCTACTTTTTAGTTTTCAAGGCTTAAGTCTTAAGAGACGGGTCATTTTAACATAATTCGCGATCTTTTTGACCCAACCTTTTGCCTTTAACAGCCACACATTTCCGGTCATAAAAGTGACATGACCATTAAGTACTATCAAAACAACCCCTACTTTAATACCTTCTCATTTTAATCGAGGCTAATTAGTTGTCGAACAGCTGAAATTTACCTGATCAGGTGACAGGTAAACTATTTTGAACCGGACATTGATCGGTCTATTCAAAGTTATTTTCTTACATTTCAGCGGTTTGCATCTAATTAATTTAGTTAAAAAGATTTAAATTATCAGAAATACGTTTACAAATATGATTTGATGAAAAAATTAAAAAGGTGAAAATGAAAAATCGTCATAACCACGTTGTTTGAACCAGAGACATGTCTCTGTTTGAACTAGTACACGTGTGCGCAGGTGTGAAATTTAATTATGCATCCTAATTTCTTCAAAAAATGCTTAAATTGTCATTGATATATTTATCTCACGTTTATTTCGAATATTTTCTTGAAGAAATAACGTAGAATGAGCTACTTACACTCATTCATGCTTTGCAAACGTACACGGAATTTACGTATCCGTCTCTGGTCCATGTTTTACCATTGTCAAGATAACATCCCGTTTAGATTTACAAAACGAAAGTAAAGTTTTTGACAACGTTATTTTGCACAAATAAAGAGTCTAAGCAGATATAAGTACGCTGATGTTGCACACTTCGAATGATGCACTGCCAATTAAATAGTTAACGTCAGAACTTCGAATTTGAATCAAAGAAAGTTTAATATCGTTTTTTTTTTAATGTCAATCATTGGGATGGCCAACTCGGCAACTGATTACCATAATTGCCTTTTATTTATTTAGTCTTAAGGGATTAAAATCGGGATAATATATAAAATGTCCGGCTGGCTAAAAATAATTTTGGAAGCCCTGACTTGAACACAAGTTTTTGTTGCAAACTAAAAAAATCCTTATTTTCGACCAATATTTGGCCCCTTATTCATAAATGTTTGAGCAATTAACCCCAAAACTCAATTCCTACTTTCTCTTCGTGATAAAAAATAACTAACTTAAAATGTAAATTTTAAACAAAAAAAAAAGGAAAAAAAAAATTACCCCTTTTTTGACCCCCGCCCCCCTTATGATTCATCACCCCCACCCCCCTTTCCCCCCAAACCAAGATCAATAACAGCCTTGCCTTTGTGGTATGGTACATTGTAATACAATTTTGAACACAAGTTATTGTCTAGAAACTAAAAAATGCTTATTTTAAACCCCTTTTTTGGCCCCTTATTACTAAACGTTTTGGGCAATTACCACAACACTCAATTCCAGCTTTCCCTTTGTGAAATGGAACCTTGTAGTAAAATTTCAGAAAGATCCATACACTTACACACAAGTTATTGTCATGAAACTAGAAAAATGCTTGTTTTTTGCCCCCTTTTGGCCCCTTATTCCTAAAATTTTGAGGCAATTAACCCCAAAATCAATCCCAGCATTGACCCTTTGTGATATGGAATCTTGTGGTACAATGTCAAAGAGATCCATATGCTAACACACAAGTTATGTCTGGAAGTTACAAAAATGCTTATTTTCGGCCCCATTTTGGCCCGTAATTCCTTAACTGTTGGTACCATAACCCCCAAAATCAATCCCCACCTTCCTATTGTGGTATTGAACCTTATGGTAAAATTTCATAGAGATCCATTCACTTAAACTAAAGTTAGAGTGCGAAAACCATTGTGTATTCGGACGACGACGACGACGACGACGACGCCAACGTCATACCAATATACGACCTCAAAATTTTTTTGCGGTTGTATAATAAAAGTGTAGTTGACGCTGTTTATGCAACTAAACTCGTAGATGACAAGCATCTCAGAATTGACATTGCAGGTATAGCTGAATCATTGGCGTCAAAAGAAGAAGACAATAATAAATGGTGTCCAGGAGATAAACAATTAACAAATTGCATGACAAAGTTGGGGGCTTCTATTATGAACTTTTGTTAGTTATTCAAACAGGAAAAATATTCAAGGACTAAAAATGTTTAAATAGTGAAATAAGTCATAAAATTTTATCAATTATGTTTGTCACATGGGGCAGAATAATCCCCTAAGATTTGAGGGTAGTCTAAACCCTGTGACGATCTTGTAATTTTAATTAAGCAAGTTTTATGTTTTCATATGAGGCAAAATAATCCCCTAAGATCTGAGGGTAGTCTAAACCCTATGACAATCTTGTAATTGTATCAAACAAAAGAAAGTAGAGGGAATGTTGATCTGATGTTACTTTAACTATATAAAGAGAGATAACTCTATTACATGAATCTACAAGTACTCACTTCCTGTTGAAGTGAGTCCTCTTCCTGTTAATGATCATTTGTGCAACATGTGCTAATAATTAAGTAAGTATAAAAACTTATTGATGTCTTTCTGAGTGCATTAACAACAGATACCGTAAGAATCATTTCGGCTGGTTTATATTGGTCAAGTAGTTTTAGAGAAGAAGATTTTTTTAAAGTTACAACAACAACACAGGATGCCAAGTGATAGCATCAGCTCTAAAAAACCTGTAATTCAAGTTTAAAAACTTTAATCCTAGACTGTATCTAAGCAAATCCAAAAAAATCCATTTATCAGTAAAATACAGAAATTAAATCTTCAAAATACTATTCAACTATTAAATGTTAAAATTGGTAACACACTTCAATACAACATTATCCACCTGCAGACCAAATATAAAATCATTCCCTTGCATACAAGCCAAGAAATGGTGTTCAAACTATCAGCAAACAGGAAGTGGCTGCACAGCAGATGTAAAAAATTCTTACATGGTACAACTCATCATTATCAGAGTACAAACCAGGGGCGTGTTTTTTTGTTCGACGGTAGTGAGCCAGAAGAGATTCATTTTTTTTTTTTGCATTTGGAAGATCTTCTGTCTCTCTTCTACCACTTTCTATTAAATAGGTAGATTAGACGGCAGACATAGTCTAAATGACATAGGTAAATTTATGAATGCAGATATAATAGAATGTGAGCTGTGTGAAATGTTTTTATTTTAAGGCAGCTTTTGTTGGAGATCCCTGTAGGGAAGATAAGCTGGATGAAGATAAATATTTGCTTGCAATCTTGTTATATTTCTGAGACAAGAGTTAAAACGTCTACAGAACAGTAGTTCTATAAAATATAATGACAAATTTCTTGTCTTTTTTTTACATTTTCCATAGGTTTTTTCCAACTGAAAACAAATAATGAAAATATACAATACGAAATGGCAAAAAAAAAAAAGAAATTTTTAATAAATCATAGTAAACTTCAATTATGTCATCCAACATAAAAATTCTGCTAAAACTTACACTCAAGACTGTATGTAAATCTTAATTGCAAAAACTTTAAGTCCATCTACTAGTATCAAAAAAATTCTGGAACTTGAAAATATTTTTCAAAATTTTTCCATATTTTACTGAAAGATGGAATAATTTTTTTTGCAGATAAACTCTATTAATATTGCCCTAAGAATATATCCATACAAGAATCAAACATCTATGAGCCCAATAAGATGACATATGTGAATCTATATTTCAATACCCACTGCTCAAATATCACTGAAGCACATATATCTACACGACTTCTGTCTGTTGGCAGGGCAGATACTTGTTCTGTTATTTCCTTGTATATTTCAATGTACTGTTTTAAGGTTAGGAGTCTAGTTGACAGAATTTGATTTCTGATTGCAAGAACCTGGAATATAAAAATAAATACATGTCCACAAAAACAAAACAAAAGATTTGTCCTATCAATTTGTTTGATATATTCGTTTAGCCAATATCAAATTAGGTGAAACAGTCATATTTTCCAGAAATGACCTAAACTGAACGACCAATGTCTGAAATGGCAGATTGGGATTTAGGTCCAAAATTATTTTTTACAGAAATAACCTCGGTCATTTTATTGAGACCGGGTTGCCAATTTGCCCTAGTTTTTGTTTAGAAATGCTTTTTCAGTAATAAAACTGCCACTTGAGTATAGTATGATATTTCTAGACAAATTATTATCATTTCAATATTCAATAACTTTTCAGCAAAGACAATGGCCAATTCTGATTTAAAAATAAAAACTTTTATTAAATGAACTTGGAAAATGGTAATTTTTCATGTGTCAAACGTGTGCTGTACTTGCTATGTAATAAGCATGCATGAGGAATATTTCTCCAGATTAGACACTTATTCGTAAAATGCAAAATGGTTTCATGCTTCATTAAAGGAGTGAAACTATTTTAAGTTATATACAAACACTTTCACAGGTATAAAACTAAAAATATTATGATTTCCTGTCATTTGATAAACAGAAAAAATCTAGTAAATGAGTCCAAAATCACTTGTAAATTAGTACAGTCAAACCTGCCTTAATGGTCACCTCGTTTAAGTGGTCACCTGCCTCCAACGGCCACTTTCAGACCCTCCCAATCGTTTTCTCAATATAATTTAACTCAAATCAGCGGTCACTTGTATAACGCAGTCATGATCAGCTATTTGAAGTAGGAAATCTATATTTCAATTTTCAACAATGGTCATTTTAATTTTTAAAACTACCGAAATTATTATGACATCGAAATCCATATGCAACAGAGATTGTGCAATATGAGGCGAAATCATGAATTTCTTGTGTTCTACTCCCTTCCGTTTCCATTGAAAACCGTATCACTGACTTATTTCTCCACGAATATTAAAATATTTTGAATGTTTTCTTCAAATTTACAGCCGGAATCCACCACTGTTTAATTCACTGATGCAAGAACCATAACTCTACGGATTGATAACACTAAAACAATTTGCCCCAATACCAACTATAAGGCGATGTCGGAATAAGAATTTTTTTCTGAACCTCATTTAAAAGGTCACCTCTCTTGAACGGTCACTTTTGATTCTTTCCAAGAATGACTGCTTAGTACAGGTTCGACTGTATTAACTTGAAACTTTTCTGCTTCTATTTCAACCTCAAAATCAATAGTAGCGTTAACAGTTCCTGAGAAATTTTCCATTTTGAGTCATTAAAATAATTTCAATTTTAAACTGTTGCTTTCCATAAATCGTTTTTTTAGAGAAACAGTCAAAAACTTCATGAAGTAAATGCGACAAAACTGTCAATACAAGTTGTTGATGCCATGAATAAATAAATAATTCCGACAGTATTAACCATGTCTAACATTGTAAACATCAGGCAAATTAACACTGTCTAACACTTGAAGCATTGGAAACATGAGGTGTATTAACCATTTCTAACATTGTTAACATCAGGCAAATTAACACTGTCTAACACTGGAAATATTGGAAACATGAGGTGTATTATCCATGTCTAATACTGTAAACATCAGGTGTATTAACACTGTCTAATACTAGAAACATTGGAAACATGAGGAGTATTAACACTGTCGAACACTGTAAACAGCAGACAAATTAACACTGTCTAACACTAGAAACATTGGAAACATGAGGAGTATTAACACTGTCTAACACTGTAAACAGCAGACAAATTAACACTGTCTAACACTAGAAATATTGGAAACATGAGGTGTATTATCCATGTCTAACACTGTAAACATCAGGAGCATTAACACTGTCTAATACTAGAAACATTGGAAACATGAGGAGTATTAACACTGTCTAACACTGTAAACAGCAGACAAATTAACACTGTCTAACACTAGAAACATTGGAAACATGAGGAGTATTAACACTGTCTAACACTGTAAACAGCAGACAAATTAACACTGTCTAACACTAGAAATATTGGAAACATGAGGTGTATTATCCATGTCTAACACTGTAAAATTCAGGTGTATTAACACTGTCTAATACTAGAAACATTGGAAACATGAGGAGTATTAACACTGTCTAACACTGTAAACAGCAGACAAATTAACACTGTCTAACACTAGAAACATTGGAAACATGAGGAGTATTAACCATTTCTAACATTGTTAACATCAGGCAAATTAACACTGTCTAACACTGGAAATATTGGAAACATGAGGTGTATTATCCATGTCTAACACTGTAAACATCAGGTGCATTAACACTGTCTAACACTAGAAACATTGGAAACATGAGGAGTATTAACACTGTCTAACACTGTAAACAGCAGACAAATTAACACTGTCTAACACTAGAAATATTGGAAACATGAGGTGTATTATCCATGTCTAACACTGTAAACATCAGGTGTATTAACACTGTCTAATACTAGAAACATTGGAAACATGAGGAGTATTAACACTGTCTAACACTGTAAACAGCAGACAAATTAACACTGTCTAACACTAGAAACATTGGAAACATGAGGAGTATTAACCATTTCTAACATTGTTAACATCAGGCAAATTAACACTGTCTAACACTGGAAATATTGGAAACATGAGGTGTATTATCCATGTCTAATACTGTAAACATCAGGTGTATTAACACTGTCTAATACTAGAAACATTGGAAACATGAGGAGTATTAACACTGTCTAACACTGTAAACAGCAGACAAATTAACACTGTCTAACACTGGAAGCATTGGAAACATGAGGTGTATTAACCATTTCTAACATTGTTAACATCAGGCAAATTAACACTGTCTAACACTGGAAATATTGGAAACATGAGGTGTATTATCCATGTCTAATACTGTAAACATCAGGTGTATTAACACTGTTTAATACTAGAAACATTGGAAACATGAGGAGTATTAACACTGTCTAACACTGTAAACAGCAGACAAATTAACACTGTCTAACACTAGAAACATTGGAAACATGAGGAGTATTAACACTGTCTAACACTGTAAACAGCAGACAAATTAACACTGTCTAACACTAGAAATATTGGAAACATGAGGTGTATTATCCATGTCTAACACTGTAAACATCAGGTGTATTAACACTGTTTAATACTAGAAACATTGGAAACATGAGGAGTATTAACACTGTCTAACACTGTAAACAGCAGACACATTAACACTGTCTAACACTAGAAACATTGGAAACATGAGGAGTATTAACACTGTCTAACACTGTAAACAGCAGACAAATTAACACTGTCTAACACTAGAAACATTGGAAACATGACGAGTATTAACCATTTCTAACATTGTTACCATTAGGCAAATTAACACTTTCTATCACTGGAAACATTGGAAACATGAGGTGTATTAACCATGTATAACACTGTAAACATCAGGTGTATTAACACTGTCTTAACACTGAAAACATTAGAAACATGAGGTGTATTATCCGTGTCCAACATTGTAAATAGCAGGCAAATTACTGTAAATTCAGAAATTATTATGTGCATTTATCATTGCAATTTTGTCATTTTAGACTAAAATGCGATTTTAATTTTTGCGATATTGAGAAAAATCCTGTTTAATTCATATAAAAAATTTCAAAATGTGAGTTTAAATTATTGTGATTATAATCCTGTTGCATTTTTCACAATAATAAAAACATCGCAATAATTTCTGAATTTACAGTAACACTGTCTAACGCTAGAAACATGAGGTTTATTAACCATGTCTAACATTGTAAACATCAGGTGTATTAACACTGTCTTAACTCTAAAAACATTGGAAACATGAGGTGTATTAACCATGTCTAACACTGTAAACATCAGGTGTATTATAACTGTCTTAACACTAAAAACATTGGAAACATGAGGTGTATTATCCAGTTCAACACTGTAAACATCAGGTGTATTAACACTGTCTTAACACTAAAAACATTGGAAACATGTGGTGTATTATCCAGTTCAACACTGTAAACATCAGGTGTATTAACACTGTCTAACACTGGAATCATTTGAAACATGAGGTGTATTAACACTGTCTAACACTGTACACATCAGGTGTATCAACACTGTCTAACACTGTACACATCAGGTGTATCAACACTGTCTAACACTGTACACATCAGGTGTATCAACACTGTCTAACACTAGAAACATTGGAAACATGAGGTGTATTAACCATGTTTGGTATGAGCCAAGGCTCCGTGTTGAAGACAGTACTTTGACCTATAATGGTTTACTTTTATAAATTTTGACTTGGATGGAGAGTTGTCTCATTGGCACTCATAACACATCTTCTTATATCTATCTACTAACACTGTAAACATCAGGTGTATTAACACTGTTTAACACTTGAATCATTGGAAACATGAGGTGTATTAACATGTCTATAACACTGTAAACATCAGGCGTATTAACCAAATCTAACACTTGTTATGAGATTGTATTATTATAATTATTTGCCTTGGCCTAATATGTTTTGTGTGGCCTTATAAGATACATAATTGGGGTGTTTACTATTTATAGTTGTTTACAAAATTATGTTATAATTGTGCAGTTTAGAAATCACTGGAACAATCATAGATACTGATGGAATGATTAGAACTTTCTATTTGACTTGCATAATAATTCCTAAATGATCATAATCTATGATGTGTAATTTAAACTTCTATGGTATTCTAGAAGTTTCCGTTCTACAGTTTTCTAGGTGTTTACCTTCTACAGAGTTCTAGAAGTTTCCATGACAACTATATATATACAGACACCAAAGTTAGACTTTCAGACAGACATTAATATACTTGTATTCTCAGAAGTTCTCTGGAGTTGTTGGATTGACACTTTTTTTTACAAACAACATCATACTAGATTGTGAACTTATTGGACGTATATATTACATTGGATTCCATACAGTTAAGAGAAGAATTCCGGATAAAGAAAAGACAAAGGATCCTACATATATTTTAACAGTTAAGTTGACATTTCAATTTATATAATATTTCTTGTAAAATTGTATAATAAATCTTGTTAAATTTTATAATTGATTTGTATCCTTTGTTGTCTACAATTTAAAGGTGATTTCTTGCCGTAACACACTGTAAACATGAGGTGTATTAACACTGTCTAACACTGTAAACATCAGGTGTATTAACACTGTCTTAACACTAGAAACATTGGAAACATGAGGTGTATTAACCATGTCTAACACTGTAAACATTGAAAATTTTGGATGCTTTTACAAAAATTCACTTCCACAAATAAATGTTTGCTTAAAATAAAGGAGAGATAATTTTTAATGTTTAAAAATTTACTTTTAGCCAGATACATGTTAACCCTCCTCATTGTATAAATTTCTATTAGGTCTTGAGATGAAGAAGTCATTCATCTGAGAAAGATTGATTGTATTAATATTCTAACCATAAAGCAATCAATCAATCTAACCATAAAGCAATCAATCAATCTAACCATAAAGCAATCAATCAATCTAACCATAAAGCAAAAAAGTTGAATTAATTTCAATATCAAAAGGAGTGTTAGTTTTGAAATATGTAATCCTACATTTTTCAACAATTTTACTTTGTGAACGTTTTGTTTTCCCTACTTTGTGAAGAAAGTCTTCAAAATTGACAAGGACAAAATATATATCATGGCTAAATGTTATTATTTTGAAGTATAAGTTTTGTAACATTTTCCAGTGTGAGTACAATCTGTTCATGGGATGATGTTGTGAATGTCAAACCTTTGTACAGCATATTCTGACTGTAGTCTTCCAAAAAACTGAGGTATCTGTCCCATCTTGTACAGTAAACTTTAGCTGTTTACCTCTCTGGTCACTAAATGATGATGTTCTGTAAAACATATATAATATATATATTATATCTTATCATTATTCATGTACTTATTCATGAAGATCTTGTTGATTTTTTTTTATGTTCTATTGTGTTCTCCTTTCATTCACAAATCACAACACAACACAACATAGTATTTGCTCTCAATAATTTACTGATGGTTTATCTTAAGAATCTTCCAATTTCTTGTTTGGTTCCCAAGGAATGTGATAACTTCATAAGAAGGTCTACCATGTAATAAGCATTGTGTATAAGATTCATAACATTTGGTTGAGGCAAACTTAAGTTAGAGAACGGGAGCGAAAAAAATTAGCAATTTTTCCATTTGTAAAGGGGCATAACTCTAGAAATGTAAAAGTGACACCACCCAAATTCAAACTTGATCTGTGTTTTGTGGTAATAAGCATTGTGTATAAGTTTTATTACATTTGTTTGAGGCAAACTAAAGTTAGAGAAGGGAAACCAATTTTGGGACATACAGACGGACGTAAAGACGGACAAGGGTAAAACTTTATGCCCCCTCAAACACGGCAGGGGCATAAAAAAGTTTATTTGCAGAGCTTGACAAGCGTCTTTTTGGTTAATTGCATAGAAAAATAAACTGTTGACACAGAGATATGTCTCACCTATCGGCATAAAATTCAGAAAAAGACAATCTGAGGGACAGCAACATTGCTTATTAATTCAGTCACTGGACCATTATCTAGTGGGCAGGGCCTGAAAATGGTCGACAAACTGAGATGTACAGACAGTAATGTAACTTTATAGAAAATATCGTTGTTTATTGTAAATAGTTCCTATCAATAAAACTTGACATTGAAAATTGCTAATTAATTCAAAGTCACTGGACCATGACAAAGGGGGCAGGGCCTCGAAATAGTCATTAAACTGATATGAACTGATAGTTATGCAACTTCCTACAAAATATCATTAATCTATCACAAGTAGATCCTATCAAACTTAAGCAGAAAACTTAAAATTGAAAATAGCTAATTAATTCAAAGTCACTGGACCATATCCTAGGCGGCAGGGCCTCAAAATAGTCGTCAAACCGATATGTTCTGATAGTTATGCGACTTCATAATACAAATGTCATTGATAATACAAATGTCATTGATCTATCACAAGTAGATCCTATCAAACTAACTTAAGCAGAAAACTTAACATTTAGAATTGCTAATTAATTCAAAGTTACTGGACCATGTCCTAGAGGGCAGAGCCTCAAAATAGTCGTTAAACTGATATGTACTGATAGTAATGCAACTTCATACAAAATGTCATTGATCTATCACAAGTAGATCCTATCAATCTAACTTTAGCAGAAAACTTAACAATTGTTGACGCCGTCACCGCAAAAGCAATCCCTATAGCTATGTCTCGCTTTCCGCGACTTTCATTGCAGGCGAGACAAAAAATTGCCATCTAGATAAGCCCATTCATAAGATGATAATTTTCTTTTACAAGAAAGGGAAATTAGAAAAGTACATTTTAACAAGAGTGCACATGCTAAAATGGCTAGCCTTTTTTACTAGTCACGATTGATTTTATGATGGAAGTTTTAAAGATACATGAGATAAAGGTTTCACATAAACGTAAATCAATGATCTATGACAATAAGGTCAAGGGCAGATGATACCTTCCGGAAAGAAATGTACACCTTACAATCATTCCATACACCAAATATAGTTGACCTATTGTTTAATGTATTTGAAAAACAGTCCAAAACACAAAAACTTAACATTGATCAATGAACTATGAAAATAAGGTCAAGGTCAGATGAACTTGCTAGACTGACATGTATTACAATCATTCAATAGCCGTAAACTTAAGTTTTACACAAAGGACTTATTGACACCTTCATTGAGTCAGTAAACTTTTATACGGATAACTCATTCAGCTTAAACACTTCAATTATTCATTTATTATCACATTTCTTACATAAATGTGTAATAATTACTAGCTAAATAAAATGCTTCGCTTGGCGCAGCTTGATACGACCGCAGAGGTCAAACCCTGAACAGTTGGGACAAGTATGGACACAACATTTAAGCTTGATACAGCTCTGAATTTGGATTGTGATTAAATATTTGACACAGCATAGGTTTCTGACACAGAATGAATGTGGTCTAAGAACTTAAAATTTTTTAATTTACCTATTATGGTCCAATATCCAAAATCTAAATACATGGTTAGATTCCTGCATATCAAAGAATCCAAAGAATTCAATTTTTGATGAAATCAAACAAAGTTTAATTTTGGTCCCTTTTGACCTCAATGTGGACCAATTTGATAACGGGGCCAAAAAATCAAAATACATGGTTAGATTCAGCATATCAAAGAACCCCATATATTCAATTTTTGTTGAAATCAAACAAAGTTTAATTTTGGACCCCAACTTGGACCAACTTGAAAACTGGGCCCATAATCAAAAATCTAAACACATGTTTAGATTCAGCATATCAAAGAACCCCAAGAATTCAATTTTTGTTAAAATCAAACAAAGTTTAATTTTGGACCCTTTGGACCTTAATGTAGACCAATTTAAAAAACAGGACCCAAAATTAAAAATCTAAATACATGGTTAGATTTTGCATATCAAAGGACCCCAATAATTCAATTTTTGATGAAATCAAACAAAGTTTAATTTTGGACCCTTTTGACCTCGATATGAACCAATTTGATAGCGGGGCCCACAAATAAAAAATCTAAATACATGGTTAGATTCAGCATATCAAAGAACCCCATATATTCAATTTTTTTGTTGAAATCAAACAAAGTTTAATTTTGGACCCTAATTTGGACCAACTTGAAAACTGGGCCCAAAATCAAAAATTTAAATACATGTTTAGATTCAGCATATCAAAGAACCCCATATATTCAATTTTTGTTAAAATCAAACCCTTTGGACCTTAATGTAGACCAATTTGAAAACTGGACCCAAAATTAAAAATCTAAATACAGTTAGATTCGGCATAACAAAGAAATAAATGTGGTCAAAGATTTTACAAATCATTTGCGCCATACTGTGCAATTAAAGATTGCAACCATAATTACCCATTTAAATTTACCATATCACATAGTGCTAACTTAATCTATTTTATAATAGAATTTAAAATATGGTGTCAAATCTTTCATATGGATTTTTTTGTAAAAAAAAAAAGATGCAACATTTGCAGATATTTTTACTGGTCTTCCTTTATAAATATGCATTTCTTTAAACATAATTTAAAAGCAATGTAAGGGAAGTAATCAAAACATTGTATTTGGATTACCTCCCTTACACTGCTTTTAAATTGTCTTAATTGTTCATTAACCATTACTTTATTCATAATTTAAAAGCAGTGTAAGGGAGGTAATTCATATGATGTATTTGATTTATCTCCCTTACACTGCTTTAAATTATGTTTTGTACTAAAGTATTTGTCCATTAACCAGGACAACCTTGTTTTTCCCCCTTTTTTGCCCCTAATTCCTAAACGGTTTGAGCCATAACCCCCCAAAGCAAATCCTAACCATCCCTTTGTGGTATGGAAACTTGTGGTATAATTTCAGAGAGATCCATACACTGTTCCACAAGTTATTGTCTGGAAACTAGAAAATGCTTATTTTTGGCCCCTAATTCCTTAACTGTTGATACTATAACCCCCAAAATCAATCCCAACCTTCCTTTTGTGGTATTTAACCTTATGTTTAAATTTCATAGAGATCCATTCACTTAAAGTTATAGTGCGAAAACCAATGTGTCTTCGGAAGACGACGACGCCAACGTCATACCAAAAATTTATGCGGTTGTATAAAAAGTTCAAATTTTGAGGAAATTAGAGGTATAAATAGACAAAAAGGAACCTTATAATGGAGATTGCAGAAATGAGAATAGGACTGACATACAGAGGGACGGATGGACGTTCAAGATTAACACTTAATACCCCCCTTGACTACAGAAGGGGCATAAAAATCACATTCAGTTTATTAAACAAAAAGTCTTCTTTACTATTTGCTGCCTAACAGACAGCTTGTTTAGTCATTATTACATTTCTTTTACAGAGTTATCTATATTTTACAATTTACTTACATGTCATTTAATTCCAAAACTGACTTCAGAAAATCTTCATATGAGAGATGTGCAATCCTTTTGATAATACCAATATGTAAATGAAGTTTTTTAAAGACTCTTTCAGGATCAGGTAAACTGTGTCCATGGCCCATACTACATTATTTTGCCTTCACATTTATTCTGAAATAAAGAATGTTTATATACTATTCAAATAACAGCCAATTTGGCTTTTTCTATTTGGTTATAATAATGCATTTGAAATTGATCTCAATGAAGTTTGTATCACTGCTTGTCTGATGTCATAAGGTCATAAATTTTCACTATGTATATTTTTGCTGAATGGGAAAATACCAGTGAAAAAATAGGCAAGGAAATTTACACTGTCAAATTTTTGCGTTTCTGTAGGTGTCACGAACAAAGCAAAAATTTAACACACCTGAAAAAACCTGATATACATCTACACATGTGACAAATTTAGGACAGACATTCTATATACATGTACACACAAATCTTATTACTTTTATCCAAATTATAATAAATTGCTTCGCCTAGCGCAGCTGGATACGACCGTAGCGGTCCAACCCTAAACAGTTGGAGCAAAAAAAGTCACAATATTCGCGCTTGATACAGGTCTGAATTTGGATTGTAATTAAATATTTGACACATGATAGGTTTCTGACACAGAATAACTGTAGTAAAAAAAACCATTTTCTTTTTAATTTCTGAAATCTGAAAAAAAATTTCACCTCCCCCCCCCCCCCTTTTTCAAAAAAAAAAAAAATATTTCCCTCATGATATGGTCATAATCTGAATTCAAATTTCCAATGGAGTTTGTAACCATAATTACCCTTTTAAATACATGATAAAAGTCTTAAAATAGAAAATGACATACATAATCATGGCTAAAATTAATTTTCCTTAATCAGCATTTTTAAAAAGTAACTTCTGAAAATAAATTGACAGCTAATCCCCTCAAGACAATACAACATTTCTTTATACATAATTTAAAAGCAGTGTAAGGGTGGTAATCCAAACATAACATTGTACTTTTTTTTAATTGTCCATTAACCTGGGAGGAAACCCTTTTTTTCCCCCCTTTTTTGCCCCTAATTCCTAAACGGTTTGAGCCATAACCCCCAAAAGCCAATCCTAACCATCCTTTTGTGGTATGGAAACTTGTGGTATAATTTCAGAGAGATCCATACACCGTTCCACAAGTTATTGTCTGGAAACTAGAAAAATGCTTATTTGGGCACCTTTTTGGCTTCTAATTCCTAAACTGTAAGGACCATAACCCCCAAAATCAATCCCAACCTTCCTTTTGTGGTTATAAACCTTATACTTAAATTTCATAGATTTCTATTAAAATTTTCTAAAGTTATTGTCCGGAAACCAAATGTCTTCGGATGACGCTGACAACGACAACGTGTTACCAATATACGACCGCAAAATTTCTTGCGGTCATATAAAAAGTCTACCTAAAATAAACAATTTATGATGCATGGACTCATATTTTTTCTTTCAGGGCCTTTTATAGCCGACTATAGGGTATGGGTTTTTCTCGTTGTTGAAGGCTGTACAGTTGCCTATAATTGCTTACATCCACTTCATTTGAACTTTGGTAGATAGTTGTTTCATTGGCAATCATACCACATCTCCTTATTTTTATATCGATAATATGTATCAGCATTTCGTGTGTATTTTAGTCTTGACAACTTTTTATTAACCATCAAGGTGACCTCAGAAGACTGCTGACGGTCATATAACCTGATATAAACAAAAATATAGATATAAATATAAATAGATAGCGAACAGTACATCTTGAATTTCCTAGGTCTGTTTGATTTCATATTATAGGCTAAAAAAATGTTTATCATCGATTTTACCTGTCAACCAAATGGTTTACTCTTGTTTCACTTTCAATGTTGACATTCTTTTCCTTTTAATGAACAGGCCTAGTTTATGCGTAACCCATCTCTAGCTTAGAGGTTAAATTGAAGATCACATGAATACAGATTCAATGAGGTTGAATTATTCATTATTATTATTACTTAAGGGTGAATAATTCATCAGCGACGTTTCTTAGCTTATTTTGACAAAATTGAACCAAACTGGCTGCTAAAAGCAAATTATTATTTCACTTTCTCACTTTCATTAATGATTTTATATCTCGAAGTTAATGCCCCTTTAATACAGATCAGAGTAAAAAAAAAAGAAATGTTTGTATCTGAATCATGACAAATGAAGATTAAGATTTAAAGACAAAAGTAAGTCTTTATCTAAATAATTTTGTTCACATGAGACAGAAAAAAAAGACATAAAAGTTAATTTGTACAATGAGATAGGGAAAAAAAAGATAAAAGTTAAATTGAACAAATGGAGTTATCCCTCTTTGTATCAGTTCTTTGCAAAGACAGAGAGTGAAACTGTATTTAAGGTTACAATGAAGTAATTATTTACATAGGCGACAATGGTAGCCTTTTTGGGTCCTGCATTTTCACTATAAAAGATCCGTTGATAAAAATGTCAAATTCTGAATTAACACCTTTGGGTGTAAATCAAACTGCTTAATACATATGGTGCCGCAGCTTTTTTGATAGAAAAATGGCATTTTTTAAGGGTACTCAACAGTTATAGAATTTTCGAAATAGTATAAATGAAGAAAACCCCTTGCTTAATTTGCAACAGAAAATGTTGCTCGTCACAGAGAGTTTCCTCCAAATTTCTCGCTATTTCTACACCAATGGCCAACACTCATTTCTTACTATTTCAATTTTGATTTCTAATTACCAGGGCAGCAGAAAATAAATTTACTTCTGCCTATTATCTTGGGTGTGAAATCTAGGTGGCACCAGTCATCTTTAATTACTTCCTTTTAACCTCAAGATATTTTATACTTAAAACATCTAGATTTTTTTCAAGGGGTGAGGGGGTGCTAGCTTCTTACTGTATTTAATTTTGTATGTTAAGCAAAACTGAGGGCATATTTAAACAGACAGTCAGACATTGGTTTGAAAAAGGCTTAGAGATGCAGCAAAATTTGATCAATGCATTATTTTTCATATCCTTCACCAATTTATTTATACACAAGGCAAGGAAATAACACTGTAACAGTTGTAATGCAAAAGCCTTTTTAGATGCTGGGTAATATATATTTAATTCAAAATAAATTGCTTCGATGAGCGCAGCTTGATACGACCGCAGAGGTCCAACCCTGAACAGTTGAGGCAAAAATGGACACAATATTCGCGCTTGATACAAGGTCTGAATTTGGTTATAATTCAATATTTGACACATAATAGGTTTCGGACACAGAATAACTGTAGTCAAAGAACTTAGAATTGGTTATATGATTTGAATTTATATTCAATTTTTTGCCCCCCCCCCCCCCCCCCCCCTTTTAAAAAAAAAAAATTTAAAGGATTTTCTTTCTGATTTCTGAAATCTTGAGGAGAAAAAATTGTCCCTCCCCGCCAATTTTTTTTATCCCCCCCCCCCCTTTTTCCAAAAAAAAAATTCTTTACCTCAGTCATGGTCATAATTTCAATTCAAATTTCCAATGGAGTTTGCAACCATAATACCATAATAACCCATTTAAATACATCATAAAAGTCTTAAAAATAGAAAATGACATGTATACATAATCATAGCTAAAATTAATTTCCCTTAATAAGCATTTTTAAAATTATTAAAATAGTAACTTCTAAATATGAATTGACAGCTAATCACCTCAAGACAATACAAAAATTCTTTATACATAATTTAAAAGCAGTGTAAGGGAGGTAATTCAAAGTTGTGCTTGAATTACCTCCCTTACACTGTAATTTGTACTTAATTGTCCATTAACCAGGACACTCTTGTTTTTTTTTCACTTTCCCTAATTCCTAAACGGTTTGAGCCATAACCCCCCAAAGCCAATCCTAACCATCCCTTTGTGGTATGGAAACTTGTGGTATAATTTCAGAGAGTTCCATACACTGTTCCACAAGTTATTGTCATGAAACTAGAAAAATGCTTATTTGGGCACCTTTTTGGCCCCTAATTCCTAAACTGTTGGGACCAAATTAGATTTTAGAAAACAATTTTACACAGACCACTAGTTAACAAGAAATGATTGTAACAGGATGCTGTTACGAAGTCTCCCAAACGAAGCTCCCATAATACGTAATTCCCAGTGTCGCCTGACATTGGACAAAGTTCAGTGAAAATTGGTTTGGTCCAGTAAAGTTATATGCATTAGTGATGCATGGGGACTAACCCTGTTTATCATTCAAATCATCTTGGCATGACAAACCAGAATATATATGGTTTAGGGGTGGGGATCTCGACCATTTAAAAGATACTAGAACATTGGGGTGGGGGGAACCCCTGGGGACTGACCCTATACATCATTCAAATGTTCGAGACACGACGAACAGGAATATATAGGGTTTAGGGGTGTGGATCTCGACCATTTACAAGATATTAGAACTTTCTCAAATGGCAGGGGGTGGGGGTGACCCCTGGGGACTAACCCTGTATTTCATTTGATGTGCTTTATCATGACAAACCAGAATATATATGGTTTAGGGGTGGGGATCTCGACCATTTACAAGATATTTGAACTTTCTCAAATGGCAGGGGGTCGGGATGACCCGTGGGGACTAACCCTGTATATCATTCAAACCATCTTCGCATGACAAACCAGAATATATATGGTTTAGGAGTGGGGATCTTGACCACTTACAAGATATTAGAACTTTCTTAAATGGCAGGGGGTGGGGGTGACCCCTGGGGACTAACCCTGTATTTCATTTGATGTGCTTTATCATGACAAACCAGAATATATATGGTTTAGGGGTGGGGATCTCGACCATTTACAAGATATTAGAACTTTCTCAGATGGCAGGGGGTCGGGATGACCCCTGGGGACTAACCCTGTATATCATTCAAACCATCTTCAAATGACAAACCAGAATATATATGGTTTAGGGGTGGGGATCTTGACCACCTACAAGATATTAGAACTTTCTTAAATGGCAGGGGGTGGGGGTGACCCCTGGGGACTAACCCTGTATTTCATTTGATGTGCTTTATCATGACAAACCAGAATATATATGGTTTAGGGGTGGGGATCTCGACCATTTACAAGATATTAGAACTTTCTCAGATGGCAGGGGGTTGGGATGACCCCTGGGGAC